GGGGGTGTTGTTTGTTTGTTGTTGTTTTTTTTTCTACCTTGCATTATTAGTTCTTTGTACAATTATAATATCGACATCAAAAGGTATTATTATTGTTAGTACGAAAAGCTTCCGACATACGACATTCCACTTCTGTTAGTCCCCTCTCTCTGGGCCTACACCATAGAGTTATGTGTACATCTATGAGGCCTGCTCGGAAAAAACAGTCTAGAAGCTACTATCGGTGTGAATATTCGTCCCATATTAGTTTTAGTTTTAGTAGAGGTTTTACGGCTTTCGCAACTGCATAAGGTCATATGAGCGCCAGAAGATTACAGGTGTTACAAGAGAGTAATAATAACAAACATAAAATAAAAGAAGGGGAGATAAGGACGATAGATGTTTGATAGGAAAGAAGAAGCAAACCACACCAGAGCACCCGCCAACCACCCACAGTCCCCTATTAAAACGAGCTGCAACATAATATTTAGAGTTGAACCACACTCGAGTCCGGCGTGCAGAAAATACCAAGCAGCTGATAAGATGTTGTTTGTCGATTTGTGAAAATAGCCCCAACCAGTTCCATCCAGTCTTCATTTTAGCCTCCCTATTTTTACTTTTATTCAGACATTGTCACATTAAACAACAATTAATCATCGTGGTGCTCAAAATCTTTTACCTCCTCGTAGGCGATAAATCGTTATAATATAGGGTAATTAATAATATAATAATCAATATAATTCATCAACAATCGATATGATATGATATTTGTGAAAGTTTGTCACTTTGGCCGCCTAAAACTTCCCAACCACTGAACTTTCCAATTTGACAAACTTAACGGTGGTTCAGAATCATTTAAAGGGTGCACAGTTATATTAAGGAGTCTGAAGTCACTGTAGGTTAATTTTCAGTTTTTCATTAGTTTCGTTTAGATCTAATCTTGAGAAAGTCCATCTTCTAAGACGCCATTGTAAACAAGTAAGATTTTTGTTCACAAGCAGTGTGCACTGTTCTCACAATGACTAGACGATCGATTCTTTTGAGTCCGTTCATCGAACGGGGTATTCGGCTAGTCGTATATAATTTGGTACGTGTGCCATAATTTGTTTACTGTAAAATGTTACAACTTATCGATATCGGCATATGAAAGCGATCAAAATATAGCGCTCAAATCAAATGTAGCCGAAGTAGATTTTAATTCAAACTACACTAAGATTAATAAGTACATGTGTGCCCATAAAGATAACTAAAAAAGTGTGTGCGTGGGTGATTGGTGGGTGCTCTGGTGTGGTTTGCTCCTCCCTTCCTATCAAACATCTACCGTCCTGATCCCTCCATCTTTTTTATGTTTGTTACTCTTTTGTTACACCTTTAATTTTCGGCATTTATGACCTTATTGTGTTGCAAGTGCCGTGAAACTCTTACGACGGTTAAGGGGGGGAGGAGGCCGACACAGAACGATGGGAGGAGAATGAAAGCGAACGTAAAAACAATAAAGGGAGAGAGAGAGAGAGAGAGAGGGAGAGAGAGAGAGAGAGAGAGAGAGAAGAGAGAGAGAGAGAGAGAGAGGGGGGGAGAGAGATCTGTAAAAGTTTGTCATGGAATGGGTTTAAACGTTCCATTCAACACTGATAGTTTTTTTTCAGGGACGAAGATTTTGAATTTAACAATCCATCTCCGATAAGAACTTAAAAAGGAACACTAGTCGAAGAACGTACCATTGGAGATTCGAATATTATTTAAGGCTCATCCTCAAAATAGCCTTGCGTAATATCGACTGGTTTACGGTGCCCAGAGAGAGAGAGAGAGAGAGAGAGAGAGA